GGGCTGGGTGGTAATTCAATATCAATATATATCATGATTGACACATGTTCGATATCAAGAGGAAATGTTTTGGATAAATGTTCAATTAAAAAAAAGACCCCACAGACCCAGTGTTGTCGAAGAAGCAGATAAACCACTGAGAATGAAGCAGAGAGTCCCTATTAATTCATTTAACAACATTCCACTCTTTAAATTGGCACTCATTGTTAAAATGTGACAGTCGATTATATGATCATTTTCATTTTTATATCTTTAATACCTCTGAAGTTTCAATGTGCAAAATGCGAACAATGCATATCAACATATTTCATACACTAGTCTACATATGAGGTGAATTATAATTCTTCAACATTCATGATAAAGAACTGTCAACAATATTGTCCTAATTATTACTGGAGCATAATTTGATTATATTACTAAGCAAAAATGATATGCAACATCTTAATCTTCTGTTTTTTATCTTGTTTAGATCAGATTTAAAATTTATTTAATGCCTCCTGAAAACTACTGTTTTTTTTTTGGTTCCATGTTTTTTTTTTCTTTCCAGCTTTGTATTGCTTTTTCAGCAGCTTATAGTGCCATCTCCTGGGAGAAAATTGAAACTGCAGGATTTTTTTTTTTAAAGCATTGGACATGTAAACATGTGGAGTGTAGAGGATTAAAGTGTGATTGTGTCAATTATATTGGAACAATGCAATAAAGTTGGGATGTACATAATGTGTCTTTGACCACAGTCCAGAAAATCTTAAATACTCGGTCAGTCTTTCTCTCACTGAGTGTGAAGCCTTGGTTCCTTTGGTCTCAGTTTCAGTTAAGTTGAACTTTGGAACCACCCTCCCAGAGAACAAATGTTTATGTGCATCATCAATTCAATGTTAATATTATGGAGGCTAAAAATTAATAACTAAACATCTGCCATTGCGAGTCTCACAGCACTCCTACTCAGTGACATTGATGGAAAGTGCACACACTATTCATTCAATCAATCAAGAAGATTAAAAAATAAAAAAAAAATACATGATCATTGGAGTTTGTCAAATGGAGACGATTATAGTGACATTCCCCATTTGGCATTCGCACGGATGTGATGTTGAAAGTAACGTCAACAATAGGACCTGACCAATCTGGGTCTTTTTTAGACCGATACCAATGCCAATTTTTCACCGAAAAAAAAATCTGATCAGCTGATGAATTAAAAAAAAAAGCTATACAATGTACAAAATACGTGTGTCGCCCCCGCAATGCATTTCATTGGGCATCAATCAGGGATGAGAGTGGCTAGTGATGAAAAAAGTGGAAAGGGGCGTGGCCGGGACGGGGCGTGGCTGGGACGGGAGCGGGGCCACTTACAAAAGTGGCACTAAACATGCTGAAGATGAAGTGTATTCAATTTACACACTATTTGAAACTTTAAGAGAAAAAAATCCCAAGATTGTTCACTATTCTTTCAAGTGAAAATTTGTGCAATTTGCTTTTGCATTCCTGGTGAGCACCAACATGTAACTTCAAACTTGCTGCTTAAAATCAAAAACTAAAAAAGTAAACACATTCCCTGCCATATTTAAGATTTGTATATTACTTGTATTCATAAAGTGTTGTGTAAATGTGATAAAAAGGTGTTGATTCTTACCTCATACAGTGATAGTGAAGTCCCACACTGTTTACTATATATGGGCTATGAATGTATTTTATTTTATAAAGTGGATGTCTATTTACAGTATATACAACAATATACAGTTTCATGAGGTAGAATACTTTATTTTCTCTTCATTTTAAGCTTTTGAGCAAGCGCTAAAAGCTTATTGGTCCTCTCCGTCTTTTTCCACTCTCTTTTTAGCCAACTCCTCTTGTTTTTACACATGCTCCAGGCTGTCGAAAAGCGCTTGAGATCGAGTAGTTACTTTTCAGTAGAAATGTCTGCTTTCCATCCTCTCGATCCGTATAGAATGACATCGTCACACACTGTACACAGAGCTTTACCGGCGACATCGAGCTTTTTCACGAAATCCAACACAAGCACAATGGTTCCTCTTTACTGTTTCCTACTGGGGACACCGTCAGCTTTCTATCCAACCAGTCCCATTGAAACGTGTTTTTCAGATCCGCATCTATCTGACGCAATTTAACTTCGTCGCGAGTCTCGATAACATTCGACATTCGCGAGAAAGGGGTTTAGGAAGGCGAACACGGATTGGTTGTGATTTGCATTTGCCGATATAGCGACCGATCACAACAAGTAAGACATTGGTTTTAGCCCATATAGAAACGCTTTGCGATAAAAAACGGGATTCAAAATGGATGCTTGCAAATGTTAACTTGTAAACATTACGAGCCCCGAATCTGCCGAAGACAAGTCCGGACACCCCCTGCCCCCCCAGAATTTTTTTATGGATTTGGAACAATATAAAATAGGTCCATTTTGACTGGAAAAAAGCGGAATTCCGCCAAAAAGTGGAAAAATCTCATCCCTGATCAATTATATGCAGATTTTCACGATTGACAGTCTGGCCTGGTCCATATTTACAGCTACTAGCGGGGATGAACTGTAAATAACCATCCATTTTCCAAACGGCTTAACCTCACTCGGGTCGCTGGTGTGCTGGAGCCTATCCCAGATGTCATTGGGCGGTAGGCAGGGTACACCCTGAACTGGTCACCAGCGACTCGCAGGACACAAATACAAACCCAATTCCAAAGAAGATGGATATTGTGTTAAACAATGATTTGCAAATCTCGTTCACCCTATATTTAATGAAATAGAGTACAAAGATGACACATTTAAGGTTCAAATTGATCAAATATTGGTTTTAGCAAATAATCATAAACATGGAATTTTATGGCTGCAACACGTTCCAAAAATGATGGGACAGGACGATGCAAACACTGTGTTACATACCTTTCACTTTGAACGACATTCAATAAACAATTGGAAACTGAGGACATGTAATATTGAAGTTTTGTAGGAGTAAATCTTTCCCCTTCTTGCTTGATGTTACGTTTCTGTTGTCCTATTTTATGCTTCATAATACGCCAGACATTTTCAATTGGAGACAGGTATGAACTGCAGGGAGGCCAGTCTAGCACCCGCACTCTTTTACGATGAAGCCCATGCAGAAATTGGTTTGGCACGAACCCCATGTGGTGATATCCATACATATTGATGTTGGTTTTTGATGCAGGGCCGCCTGAGGGATCGAAGGTCACGGGCATTCAATGTTGGTTTCCGGCCTTGCCGCTTACACGCAGTGATTTCTCCAGATTCTCTGAACCTTTTTGATGACATTATGGACCGTAGTTGATGAAGTCCCTAAATTCCTTGCAACTGTTCGTTGAGGGACATTGTCCTTAAACGGTTCGACTATTTTCTCAGGCAGTTGGTGACAAATTGGTGAACCTCGCCCCATCTTTGCTTGTGAATGACTGAGGGGTTCTGCGAAGCTCCTTTTATACCCAATCATGACACCCACCTATTCCTAGTGAGCCTGTTTACCTGTGAAATGTCTCAAACAGATGTTTGATGAGCTTTCGTTTTTGCCGTCTGTCCCAGCTTTATTGGAACATGTTGCAGTCAGAAAATTCTTACTTCATGAATATTTGCTTCACAGTTTCTCAGTTTTCTCAGTTTGAACATTAAATATTGGTTTTGTAGTGTATTCAATTAGATAAGTTAAACATAATTTGCAAAACATTGTATTCTGTTTTTAATTATGTTTGACACACATCCGCCTCACAGTGCTGAGGTCATGGGAAGGCCCTGGCCTTCCTGTGTGAAGTTTGCATGTTCTCCCCATGCCTGCGTGGGTTTTCTCCGAATGCTCTGATTTCCTCCCACATTCCAAAAACATGCATTGTCATTTGATATAGCTTTCTAAATTGTCCCTCGGTGTGATTGTGAGCATGAATGTTTTGTCTATGTGTGCCTTGCGATCGGTTGACAACCAGTTCAGGGTGTACCCCGCCTCCTGCACAAAGACGGCTGGGATAGGCTAGTCTGTGCGCGACCTTTGTGAGGATAAACGGATCTGATAATAAATCAGGGGTGTCAAACTCATTTTTGTAGTGGGGCCACATTGTAGGTTCCCCTTGGAGGGCCGTTATGAATTATGGGAAAATAGATAAATGTTTAATCCCCTCCACATATTACATACACAGCGCACAACAAATTGATGAATAACTAGTTTTAAAATCAGAAGTCAAGAATAATGACTGTTATTGTTTTTGGATTACTGGTATTGGATTACATATGGCAATTTGACAATTTGGTTCAGAGTTTAGCAAGCATCATGGAACTTCACATGCTTGATTTACTTTCGCAGGCCACATAAAATGATGTGGAGGGCCAAATCTGGCCCCCAGGCCTTGACTTTGACACTTAAGAGATGGATGGATGGATGGATGGACGGACGGACGGACACTCAATTTAATAACGTGTAGACCTGCGGCTATTAGTCCAAATCGGCTAATCTATGTACAAATTAGTTTTTATGGCTAAAATTAGATGTTGTGGCTTTTAATCTGGTGTAGTTTGTCATCCGGAAATTACTGTTGTGACAAACCATGTCAAATCCTTGCACAATTTCATTGCTCACCTAAGCATTGCTTATAAAATTTCAGATTCACATTATGTTGAAAGACAGGTCCACAGAATAACCACAAAAACAAATTTCATTATATACAGGGTACCCCCCCCCCAAAAAAAAAAAACAATAATAATTTTAGAAGTTCGTATTGGCAGACATGAGCAAGTAGCAGCAGTGACCTTGAGCAAGTAAATACTCAGCCAATTTAGTAACCATGAACCAGTGGAATGGACAACAGCTTGTGTTAATGTTTTATCAAAACAAGATAGTGATCTAGAGATGCATTCTACATTTAATTGTGAGACTGGCTGAGAAAGCTTGGTGAACAGTTTTTATCCACACATTGGACATAAAGCATCACCTCACAAAGCAGATGGGATTTGAGTTTCCTCGTTGAATCAAATACAGCGCGTTACTCACAGATACACTCCAAATCTGCATCCCATTGGCATAACCAATCATTAGACAGAGAGGAGGATCAGTCGAGCCACTGTGCATCTCCATAAACTCCAGGTTGCGAGCAGAGTCTGCATCAACAGAATATTTCAAGTCAAGTTTAAATCCAGAAGCTGCATCATTTAGAATACAGTTGAGTTCACATGATCATCAATAATTAACACAATTGTCCTGTAACACGAACTTATTGAAGTAGCCGATCATGCACACTAAAAACAGTTGGGTCAAATATACTGTAACATGAATTGGTTTATTTTGAACCCAGCTGCTGGATTATGATCGCACCAAACACACAGTAGTTAATTTGACCCAGCAGGTTGGGTTGGTCGATCTTAACCTAACAGGTGAGTTTGATATTTTACCAAATACTAAACCCAAATGTTAAGTTGCAACAGGTTGTTGTTGTTCAAGCACTATTTTCTCAGATAGATCTGAAATGTTCCACATGATGCCCAAATATGCAGAAAAGCAAGTGTGTTTAAATGTACAGTGGTACCTCTACTTACGAAATTAATTGGTTCTGGAAGAAATTTCTTAACTAGAAAAGGTTGTAAGTAGAGACACGTTTTCCATGTAAATGCCCTAATCCGTTCCAAGCCCCGCCCACCCCAAAATCCAGGCAAAAATGTTTGCTAAAGCATAAAAATGCATCAAAATATGTAACAAATACATGTTACAATTAAATTATTGCACAATATATGTGAGTTGTGCAAAGTGTAAAAAAACAAAGAATAAAGAATAAAAATGATGGTCATTTAACTTAACTATGTCCTCTTTGTTTTTTGCCCTCAACTCAACTCAACTGTATTTATAGAGCACTTTCAAACAGCCATCTCTGCATACAAAGTGCTGTACATGGAGCAATTCAACATATACAACAAACAGTAAAGCAAATCGGTAATAAAGATGGTAGAAAGCACCGAACAGCAAAACCAAGAGCAAATCTAAGTCATGCTGAGTCAAATGCCAAAGAATACAAGTGAGTTTTGAGGCAGGTTTTGAAGATGGGCAGCGAGGAGGCTTGGCGAATGTTCAGTGGGAGGTCATTCCAGAGAGAGGGACCAGCAACAGAAAAGGCTCGATCCCCTCTGAGCCTCCGTTTAGTTCTTGGTACTTCTAATGTCTGGTCCGCAGACCTGAGGCGCCGGGCAGGTGTGTAGGGCGGATGAGCTCAGAGAGGTAAGGTGGCGCGAGGTCATTTA